ATTTAGTATTTTTAGAGTAATTGCCCTTGACTTAGTAAAAATTTGCAATTTTCAACTTGTGTTGCACGTAACTTAAAAAAATATATGACCTAGAGTCATGAAACCTCACTGGAATGTTGATCAGCATGTGAAGTTTTGCACCTGGGTATTTTTATGTGGATATATTTAGTATTTTTAGAGTTATTGCCCTTGACTTAGTAAAAATTTACAATATTCAACTTGTGTTGCACGTAACTCGAAAAGTATTTGACCTGTAGGCCTAAAAGTTTACAAGAATGTTGGTCAGCATGTGTACTTATCCACCTTGGAGTTTTCATGTGGATTTATTCAGTATTTGTAGTATTTGCCCTTTACTTAATAAAAGATTTTTAGTTTTCAACTTGGGAACATGTAGCCAAAAAAAAATTTGACCTAGAGACATAAGATTGAAAATCTGTGGAGTGTGCCTGGGCACCCGTGTCCTATGGACACATTTCTAGTTATATCTTTTAATACTATGCATAGCACTGTATGTACTATTCATATCATTTAATACTATATATAGCACTGTATATGCTATATATATCTTCTTTTACTATATATAGCACTGTATTTGCCATTTATATCTTTAAGAACTATATATAGCAATGCGTATACTATAAATTCTTTTAATACTATACTGCGTCGGCGTAACCACTTATGTAATAGTTCAAATATTTTCAAAGTCCATTGACATATGGCTTTGAAACTTTGCACACTTGTTTACCATCATTACCCCAACCTGTAAACAGGAGGAGGTAACTGTTTCAAGCATTTTGACAGAATTATGCCCCTTTTTCGACTTAGAATTTACGTTAAAGATTTTGTAATAGTTCAAATATTTTCAAAGTCCATTGACATATGGCTTTGAAACTTTGCACACTTGTTCACCATCATTACCCCAACCTGTAAACAGGAGGAGGTAACTGTTTCAAGCATTTTGACAGAATTATGCCCCTTTTTCAACTTAGAATTAACGTTAAAGTTTTTGTAATAGTTCAAATATTTTCAAAGTCTATTGACATATGGCTTTGAAACTTTGCACACTTGTTCACCATCATTACCCCAACCTGTAAACAGGAGGAGGTAACTGTATCAGGCATTTTGACAGAATTATGCCCCTTTTTAGACTTAGAACTTACGTTTAAGTTTTTGTAATAGTTCAAATATTTTCAAAGTCCATTGACATAAGTAAACAGGAGGTGGTAATTGTATCAAGCATTTTTTTTACTATCAAGTACTAAGAATAGTCCAGCATTGCTGTCCTACGGACAGCTCTTGTATTTTACATTGTTTACAACAAAAATCGGTGACAATACATAAACAATAACTTTACAAATAATCACCTGTCAATTGCCGATTTCTGTATACTAATTGCACCTTCTTTAGCCCATACATTCTGATTGCCAATTTTAAATTTATGACAAGTCAAACATTTCATTCGCACTTCAATACCGTGGCATGAAATACCCAAATACACCCAAATATTGTCCATATATACCCAAATATAGCAATTCTTTTTTGTTAGTCCCCTACCGGTTTAACCGGAGGGGACTTTAGGTTTACCCTCCGTCCGTCTGTCTGTCTGTCTGTCAGTCTGTCAGTCCGTCCGTCCGTCCGTCCACAAAACTGGATCCCGCGATAACGCAAAAAGTACTGAAAATATTTTTATGAAACTTGATATATGGATAGATGGCAGTATGGAGATTATGCACGTCTTTTTTTTCTTCTTCCTATGTTGAAAATTCTGGTTGCTATGGCAACAAATAGTCTGAAAATATGGCAAATTTAACACATAAACTGGATCCAGTGATAACTCAAAAAGTACTGAAAATATTTTTATGAAACTTTAAATATGGGTAGATGGCAGTCTGGAGATTATGCACATCTTTTTCTTTTCTTCCTATGTTGAAAATTCTGGTTGCTATGGCAACAAATAGCCTGAATTTCAAGATTTCTGATTTAAATTTTTCAGCTTTTTCACTATATGTTCTTTATTTCTTAAGGTGTTTACTTCAAACTTTAAATATAAGTTTCTGGTCATCAGCCACATCATATGTGACAAGGTTTATAACTCTAGCACAAAAAATATCAGTATTACCTCCCTTGAACTTAGATTTTTTAGGGGAAAAAATGTTGTCTTTTTTAAATAACTTCTTTATTTCCTAATGTATCTACTTCAAACTTCATATATATGTTTCTTATTATCACTCGACATTTTTGAGAAGGTTAAATACTCTAGCAAGACTATTTCCAGAATTATGTCCCCCTTGAACTTACATTTTTTTCGAGAAACTGGTATTGTCACTCCAACTTCTTCATTCCTAACATAGGATTTACTTTAAAATCCCACATCGTAATAATATGACAAGGTTGTATAAACATAATTTCCTTACTAAGCATGGAAACTTAACACATTACTGTGATATAGACAAACTTATTAGTCCCCTACCGGTTTAACCGGAGGGGACTTTAGGTTTACCCTCCGTCCGTCTGTCTGTCTGTCTGTCTGTCCGTCTGTCTGTCAGTCTGTCAGTCGGTCAGTCCGTCCGTCCACAAAACTGGATCCCGCGATAACGCAAAAAGTACTGAAAATATTTTTATGAAACTTGATATATGGATAGATGGCAGTATGGAGATTATGCACGTCTTTTTTTCTTCTTCCTATGTTGAAAATTCTGGTTGCTATGGCAACAAATAGTCTGAAAATATGGCAAATTTAACACATAAACTGGATCCAGTGATAACTCAAAAAGTACTGAAAATATTTTTATGAAACTTTAAATATGGGTAGATGGCAGTCTGGAGATTATGCACATCTTTTTCTTTTCTTCCTATGTTGAAAATTCTGGTTGCTATGGCAACAAATAGCCTGAATTTCAAGATTTCTGATTTAAATTTTTCAGCTTTTTCACTATATGTTCTTTATTTCTTAAGGTGTTTACTTCAAACTTTAAATATAAGTTTCTGGTCATCAACCACATCATATGTGACAAGGTTTATAACTCTAGCACAAAAAATATCAGTATTACCTCCCTTGAACTTAGATTTTTTAGGGGAAAAATGTTGTCTTTTTTAAATAACTTCTTTATTTCCTAATGTATCTACTTCAAACTTCATATATATGTTTCTTATTATCACTCGACATTTTTGAGAAGGTTAAATACTCTAGCAAGACTATTTCCAGAATTATGTCCCCCTTGAACTTAGATCTTTTTCGAGAAACTGGTATTGTCACTCCAACTTCTTCATTCCTTATAGGATTTACTTCAAAATCCAGCATCGTAATAATATGACAAGGTTGTATAAACATAATTTCCTTACTAAGCATGGAAACTTAACACATTACTGTGATATAGACAAACTTATTTTATTAGCTCGACTTTTCTATGAAAAGGGGAGCTATCCTACTCGCCCCGGCGTCGGCGTCGGCGTTGGCGTCACACCTTGGTTAAGTTTTTCGTACCACCCCACTTTATTTCAGAAGTATTACAAGTATGGCTTTGAAACTTACCATACTTGTTCACCATCATAACCTCCATCTACAGACAAGAGTACATAACTCTGTCAAGGTTTTTGACAGAATTATGGCCCTTTTTTGACTTAGAAAGTGTATTGAGCTTGGTTAAGTTTTTTGTACCACCTCACTTTATTTCAAAACCATTGGAGGTATTGCTTTGAAACTGACCATACTTGTTTACCATCACGACCTTCATCAACAGACAAGAGGACATAACTCTGTCAAGGTTTTTGACAGAATTATGCCCCTTTTTGACTTAGAAAATACATTGAATATGGGTAAAATCCACTTATTGCCTTAACCCTTTGAGATATTACCAAGGTGTTCTGAGTGACGTAAAAATACCTTATTCTCTCAAAGTGGGTTTAATACTATTAAATTTATTTAAGGCTCAACTCAGTTTTTTTTTCTTTCTTACCAGCCCTCTTTTGACTTAAACATTTCAAACTTTGCTGCAGTGTTCAAGGGTATCACACAATTCAGTAAAATAATTCTTCACTAAATATCTTAATGCTCATGGCCATTGTTCACTTTAAAAATACAGAGATTCTTGTATTGCCTTTTACTGCAAAAACTTTTTTTATTGGCAAGCAATAAAAAAGTCGAGCGCGCTGTCTTACGGACAGCTCTTGTTATGTTTTGTGGTCGATATTTTCAAATACAGACTTCATCCTCAAATTCATTATAAATGGCAATACACAGGAGTGTATGACAATTAAAGAACTTTTTGAGGGACCGGTAGGGGACTACTGTATTGCCCGCAATACTATCAAATGCTTGTTTGTACCAGTTTCTGAAATTTGCAGCCAAGGATAATTTTTTTGCCAATTTTCAAGTGTTGCATTGCGATTCACAGTTATGTGCGCCCTTTTCACTTTAAATACGCTATCTAAAATGTCTTCAACAATTGGGTTTACAATTGTTTTAGCAGGAAACTCAGTTGTGTTAAAAAAAAAATTGTAAATTTTCCTTTGCTTTTGCTTGGAAGCAGCATGATGTTAGTCTTTATAAATAAACCCTTGCAATTATAAAGGAAATCAAGCCACACATTTTTCCAAGTGCCTATGCGATAAAGACATAATTTGACTGGATTAAAGAATGAAAATTAGTAGGAGTTATTTTTGCGGGTATTTAACGGAAAAAAAACACAGTCAACTGTTAAACGGATATGGAATCAGCTGTTTCGAAAATGAAAGTACACACCAAATACGCTTCGATTTTTCATTCTTTGCGTATTTAATTTATAGCATACGTAAATGAACGCAAGAAATTTCAAATATGGTGCGTTTTGAGTTGATTTTGAAGCGTAAAATATGCCGATACGCACGTTATCTGGAACTCTGAATTATGCCATTTATCTATATCTTTTGGTACTATATATAGCAATGTATATACTATTTATATCTTTTATTACTATATATAGATCTGTATATGAGAACAGTGTACTCGTTTTTGCTTCTAGGACAATGTGGAGCATCAGCTTACAGAGAAAGATGACCACACAATACATTTTGAGTATTTAGTGAAGACTGGTGTTGGGGTATGGGCATCTTTCATTGGTCAGCCAAATATCTGTCTGTACCACAGTGAGAGCAGGCGACTGCTACAGGACTTCAATATCTGCACTGCTGTCCATGAATTCATTAAAGGTAAACTTATATGTTAATCTCATTTACTTGCTATTTAAATATATACTATGCTCATGTTAGAGTAAAATATTTCTATCCCAAAAATTAATTGAAATCTATGTAATTCGTTCTGAATATGTCTTAATTACAAACTGCAAGTGGCAAGCTGCATATCCTATTTCAGGTTACAAGAAAAGTTGGTCCTTTCTTAAAAAACTGTCAGGTTTTTTAGCTCACCTGTCACAAAGTGACAGGGTGAGCTTTTGTGATCGCTTTTCGTCCGGCGTCCGTAAACTTTAACTTTAAATGACATCTCCTCATAAACCACTAAGCCAATTTCATCCAAACTTCACAGGAATGTTCCTTTGGTGGTCACCTTTAAAAATTGTTCAAAGAATTTAATTCCATGCAGAACTCTGGTTGCCATGGCAACTGAAAGAAAAAACTTAAAATATCTTCTTTTAAAAAACCCGAAGAGCTAGAGCTTAGATATTTGGCACGAAACATCTTCTAGTAAGTGTCTACCAAGTTTGTTCAAATAAAAGCCCTGGGGCAAAATTGGCCCCGCCCGGGGGGGTCATTGATTTTCCCTATATGCATATAGTAAAAACTTTAAAAAAATCTTCTTTTAAAGAACTCAAAGAGCAAAAGCTAAGATATTAAGCATGAAACATCTTCTAGTGAGTGTCTACAAAGTTTGTTCAAATAAAAGCCCTGGGGTCAAAATTGGCCCCGCCCCGGGGGTCATTGATTTTCCTTATATGTGTATAGCAAAAACTTAAAAAATCTTCTTTGGAAAAACCCAAATAGCTAGAGTTAAGATATTTAGCATGAAACATCTTCTAGTGAGTGTCTACAAAGTTTGTTCAAATAAAAGCCCTGGGGTCAAAATTGGCCCCGCCCCAGGGGTGTCATTGTTTTTAACTATATGTGTATAGCAAAAACTTAAAAAAATCTTCTTTTGAAAAGCCTAATGAGCTAGAACTTTGATGTTTAGCATGAAACATCTTCTTATGGGTGTGTGTGTGGGGGGGGGGGGGGGCTATATACAGGTGAGCGACCTCAGGGCCACCATGGCCCTCTTGTTTGTAATGTCACTAAATATTCAAATTGTGTCCACCTATAGTGTGTAGGGTTTAAAACATAAGATATATACTTTGTGTGTCTTCAAAAGATGTTTAAGTATATCAACAAAGATACCGTGTAGCAATTATCAAATATTTAAAAAATAATAAAATTGAGCACACCTAAATATCGGGTATACAATGATTTAATTGATTCCAATTTTATTGTGTAATGTTGGAATAAAAATTAAAACTAGATGTTTTGACAACCTTTAAATCACTCCTCCAAAACAACACCAACGGAATGAAAAAATTTAAAATTTAAACTGAAAAGAAAATAAGGACAATAATAATATATATCCCCTTCTTTGGGGTAATTTATAGAAATGGCTTGCCAATCCTCTTTCCTCCTTCAATCCTGTTTCGTTTCCCTGGTCTCTCATCCTTGACACTTTCAATGCCCTGCCCCCTTTTCAAATTAACCACTGGAAAAATTTTGTCATAGGCCCCGTTTTGTTCCCACCATTGTGGAAAGGTGGAAAGTGTTGGCCGCTGGCAAAATTTTTAGGTCCCTGCTGGGCCAAGGTCACACAATAAGGGGTCAAAAGTTCAGGATAAAAATATGAAAAATGTGTATTCCGGAAAACATTTTATTCAAAATTAAAACTGAGTAAAGATTTGAAAAACACAGAAAATGGTTCATGTATCACAACCCTTACCTGTTGTTGAAAACAATGTAAATTAAGGTTAACATAATGAAAAGGGTCCCCAAGGTCCCCACAAAAATTTATGAAAAAAAATAAAATATAAGAATTTTGGTCCCAAGAGCGTTAATCTCCCCTCCACCCGCAATGTGTGGAATTCTTCAAATAGAAATGTTTCAACCAACTATTGAAGAAGCATAGTTGGGTCAGGTGCAACCAGAAACCCAATGGTCCCTCAAACCTAAGAAGGTTTTAAAAAGGTCCATTTAAAAAAAAAATGCTTGTTTTTCGGTGGCCCAAATTCCTAACAATTTCCATCGGGGGAATTTTAATGTTAACTTGGGCACAAAATGTTTCCACCATTGTGAGGCCTTATTGGCGAACAATAAAAATCCCAATGGTCCCTTTTTCTCCAAAATCAAGGTCCACCAAATAGAAGAAGTTTAAAAAAATTCCCTGTACTTGTTAATAATTCTGCCCTTAAAATTGAATTAATTTTATTCCACCCCATGGTCACAAATTTGAATCCCGTTTTCTTAAGGGGTCCCCCACCTTTGCCCACTGAAATAAGAAAAACAAAATTTTTAAGGTCCTTATTGGTGTGGGGGAAACTACAAGCAACAGAGCTAAGATATTTTGGCAATGCAAGTTATATTTTTGTTTTTTTAATTTCTACAAAAGGTTTGTAAAATCATCATGACCCCCTTAAGGTTCCCCATTTTGGCCAAATGCCCAAACATGAAGTCAAACTTGCCCCCCTTTTAAATGTAATGGTACACTTAAAGAAATTTTTTTTTGGTTGGAATATTTGGCAACATAAGCATTTGCCAATTTTTGGGCCCCCTCTTTAATAAATAGTAGCCAAACTGTCTGTAAAACAATTTCTTAACAACTTGCCAAATAAGAAACCTGCCCCCTATACTTTTTTCCAGTAAATATTTCCGGAAATAGGAAAAAAAAGAAAGAATTTTCAAGTTAAGCTTGGTTTTTTTTTTTTTAATGGGCAATAATCTTTGGGCCTTGCTGGTGGGGTTTGGGAACCTAATTGTGGAAATAATACTGGTATATCCTCCCTTTCCAAATTTACCGAAGAGGAAGTCCCCAAGAATTAACCGAAAAGCCGTCCCCCCAAAGTAAGTCCTCCACAGTCATAGTGGAGCAAAGTTAAAAAGTTTCCTATTTTACCCGATGCAATTATGGGGGGCCAGTTGAGTGGGGCCCAAAACCCTATAAGAAGAAAGGATGGAAAAAATCTTGCCCTGTTAATAAAATACAAAACCCCCGAATGACTCCTGTAATAAGACATTTATCCCTAATTGTTGATTGAAAAACGAGAAAACCCAGCTTTGACAAGTAAAGAACCAATTCTTATATAAGTTGGAATGCCCCTGGGGTTTGGCTGTTGAGGTGATAATGTGTAAATGAAAAAATGTTTTTGAATTCCCCAAGGTTAATAAAAAAGAGAAATACTGAAACAGTCCCAGATTTAATGAAAGAATTCCAAGTAAAGGAACGGAAAAAGTTTAAAGGTAAATGCTTAAAAAAATCCCTGCAGTTAAGTAACCTAAAAGGGATGGACCCCCAGGTTTGAAGAAACAAGGAATCAGAATTGATTCAGATCTGATTGACACAAATATTTCATTTAAACCTCAATGTTAAGAGGAAAACCTTAACAAAAAACTTGATTTGACAAAGTCCCCAAAGTGCAAGTAAGGTGAGAGCAAGTATTGAAAGGAATGGAAGGTGGTCAGAATATGAACTGAAACCTCCCCCCGATGAAGATGTAAAAATTCCCTTAAGACCGAAAATTAAGAACAAAAATATTTAATGTAAGAAAGAAGGAAATTTGGAAAGAAATGGACCCGAAATCAAATGAACTTTGGTCCTTACGAATGCATCCTTTAAACACGGCAAAAACAGTCCCTAAAGTAATTTTTCCCAAATTCAGAAAATTTAAAATAATGCGTTTTTTTTTTAAAAGCCCATAAAGAAAAGTCTCTTTGAAGACTTGACTGATAGAGAAATGCTAAACACAAGAATATTGAAGTTAGTAATTTATATCCAACTTTAGTCAGGCCAAAAACAATTTCAAAATCCGGCCAAAATCATTACGAGACAGTGGCCTTTTCCCAGCCTTCAAGTTTACCGGGATATTAGGGACGAGTCCTAAGAAAGGAGAAAATAAAGACTCCCTGTACTTCCCCGACCCTACCGAAATGAGTAGTGGGAAAAAAAGCGAAAAAACCGGAAAAAAACTCTCTCCCCCTCCAAGTTAAAAGAACTCGACAAAAAGGAGAAAAAAGCCGTCCCTCGGTTTTTCTAAGCGAGATCTCTACACCGAAAGAAACTGAGACGTTCTGTTTCCTTAACAAGGGGATGACAACACAATGGAAAATAAGAAAAAGTCGGCAAGTTTTGGTACCAGTTTTTTTTTCAACAGGGCTCATCAAGTAGATACTCCCTCAGAAAAGCCAAGACACTAATACAATAATGGTAATTAAGTGGAGGTGATGGTTAAATAAAGAATTGGAAAGAATGAGACAAAGTTTTTACCAAAAATGTACAGAACCAGAAGAGCCATGGTCTTATGTTTTGGATGTAAAACAAATTTCCTAGAATAAACGTTATTATTTACTGCTGTTTAATATTGAAAATGCAAATAAAAAAGCATGTACTAGATTTTTTTAGATTAATATAAATTTTATAGTACATTATAGTAAAAGCTGGAACTGTGATTTACATGCTGTACATTTCTTATGAAAATAGCAGTTTGAATATGAAAAAATGTTGTTAATTTGTTAATTATAAATAATTTATTGAAATATATATTTGTTTTGAGAGTCCCCAACCCTGTAAATAAGAGACATACATTTTTAATTTTTTTAGATTGTTATTTTTTAAGTTTCAATTCCATATGTACCAATATTTCATTCCATGTTCATGCATAGCATTATTGTCCTCTCTGCTTTTTTTGCTAAGAGTCTGCAATACTCTCATTCATGTGATTATTCTACAATATACAGGTATATTATACAAAAAGGTTGACATTTTCCTTTTTTAATATTTTTTTTTTGTTCTAGTAGACATAATATTTGCCCTGGTCGAAAAGTTAAATTAAATACAGGTTGTACATGTTTTTTTCATGAACAAAGTAATTGTCATGGATTAAGTGTTAATTCAAAGTAATTTTTTTTACATTTGTACAATTTGAAATTTTTGAGATGACTTATTCCGTTGCTATTATATGTGAAGAAAACAATTCATCTGTGGTTTTTAATCCAAGTAGTCCCCTCCCAAATCAAAATGCAAATTTCATTTAAAAATGGCATTAACCCGGTCCATTAAATTTGGAAAAATTTTTGGGAAGGTTCAAAATGATTGAAAAATTTTGCCTTTAATAGTTTTTTCTTAACAATGGTCCCATTTTTATTCATTGAAAATTCAAAAAAATTCATAACTTCGGGAAAAATACCATCAGCATGGATGAGACTTGACATAAATTAAAAATTGCAATAAAGAAAAAACCAATAAAGTGGTTTTGGCCCCCCCCATTTATAAGGGAGGGGACCCAAAATTAGATTACCCCTTGTCCCGTCCCGGTCCATCTTCCGTCCCGTTTCCTTATTTGGTGTTCGCAACATAAGCTTTAAAGTAATTTTGAAAACATAAGAGTCCATGAAAATCTTTTTTAAAAAGGAATTATTAGTCCAAAATGTTTGGAAGTTGGTGGCACCTTGGTGTTTTGCGTATGGATTATTCGTTTATTTTGGTTAAGAGTTATTTGCCCCTTGAAAAACTAGTAAAATACAAAAATTTTCAAATATGTTGCCACATTAAGCCTTCAAAAAAATTATTTGAACCTTATTGGTCCCTAAAAACTTTTAAATAGGAAATGTTTACATCAGCATGGTTAAAGTTTTTGGTTTTGCCACCTTGGGGGGGTTTTTTCGGTGTATTAAGTTTTAATTCAAGTAAAATTTTTTTAGTTTTATTGCCCTTCACTATTAGTAAAAATCCATTTTCCAAACTGTTGTCCCCACACATTAGCTCAAAAAGTTATTGGACATAATAGTCGAATTAACTTTTAACAGGAATGGTTGTTTAAGAATGTGGCCAAGTTGTTTTTGCACCCTGATTGTGTTTCAACCTGTGGGAATTTATTCTGTTTGGTTTTTTAGTACATGTTTTAGGCCCCTTGGAACGGTAGTAAAAAAATTTTTGCCAATTAATTAATTGTGTC